TATGTCACAAATGAATTGTAAATCCATGTTTGCATTCCAACACCGTAAAAGATCTTTGTTGTATTGATTAACCCAAACATCTTTAATATTTCGTTTATGGACAACACTGGTTTTGTTTGAAGTCAATTGATAAGCTTTTTCAAATACTGATTGATTGATACCAATTGATTTGAACAAATCATCAGTTGTTTCATATGCTGCGTGTTCATTTGATAAGGCTTCTTTGACTTTAGTCATCGTTTGTTTTGCCAGTGTTTCATCTGAAGGTTTTTTCATATCACTTTCTGGTTGCTGTGGGCCTGAATTGGGTTTTTCTTCATTTTGTTTTGTAACTACATTTTTAATTGGTTTGGATATGAAAGTCTTGGTACTTGGTGGACGAGGAAAGTTAAATCTGCATTTGGTATGTTGTTTTTTGCAACTTTTAGAGTGTTTCTTACTGTGCATTTGAACACTGGACACAATCTCGAACAAAGGATCAGTTTCAGGTGGGAGATCACATGTAATATATTTATCAATAAAAGCAATAACTTCCTCGTCTGTGTTTATCCCTAATTGAGGGGCATCTTCAATCCAGAAAATACAGTGTGTATGGGCGGAACCACGCTGTTGAAATTCTACTCTGTAAAAGTAGTCAATGATTTTACCAATAGGCTGTGAAGGAGACATGAGGACATCTTTCAAAAAACAGTGGAACCTATGATCAAACATTCTTGCTGCTGTCACAGGGTTATTTTTGAGTAGATCACATTTTTGTGCCCAGTCCAAGTTATCTACATTGATCTGAATATTGTCTGCACACATAAAAGCTTCCATAAAGTGTGTCCAACGCATATCTGCTGAAGAAAATGAACAGAACCACGTAGGAATCCCCAGCTGTCTCACCATAGCAAACAAATCTTTCTGAACGCTTTGCCAAAAGACAGGTGTACCTCTGATAGGTTTTAAGAATTTGTAACCCATATCATAATTTAAAATATTCTTAACAAAATCTGTTCTACCTAACATAGATGGTGTGATATTATGGGTTTCCACTCCATGGTAACCTTTCCTC